GCAGAGGCAAGTGGGTGAGAGGCTGGCGGAAAATCTGCGGAGGGAGCCCCAGCTCCTGGGAGACGTCCGACTTATTTCCTTCCACGTGACAGCAGTGAAGGGGAGTAGCAAGGGAGAGGGGCTTGGAGGAATCTTTGAATTTGGATGATTTTGCTCCGGGCTGTGGGCCTGGGAGAGTGGTTGGCCTGGGAAGGGGTTGGAGCGAAGGGGAAGCCCTGACACAAGCACCCCTAATTGCGGTAACCTCTCCCGGGGCGGGTACAAGAGAAGAATCGAGAGGGGCCTCAGTGAAAACGTGCTCGAAGGGAGGCCCGTGCTGCCCGCCATGGGTGCCAGCGCCGCGCTCAAGATGGCGCCTCCCTGCCGCCGGCTCCCTTCCCCCGCCGCGCTCAAGATGGCGCCTCCCTGCCGCCGGCTCCCTTCCCCCGCCGCGCTCAAGATGGCGCCTCCCTGCCGCCGGCTCCCTTCCCCCGCCGCGCTCAAGATGGCGCCTCCCTGCCGCCGGCTCCCTTCCCCCGCCGCGCTCAACATGGCGCCGACTGTCGCCCCTCCCAAGATGGCGGCCGGAGGGAGCTGGTGGCAAAGGGCCATCTGGCCCCAGGTGTGCCAAAACTTTGGCAAACTTAGCGGTTACAACAGAAAAATCTCACTTGGATGGTGCTGGTCAGGACCTCCCCCTCATGCCCAGCCTCTCTGCTGCCCCCATAAAAGCAGCCATTGCTCAGTCATGCTGAGGGATCCTCTGTCCTTAATGTCCTCAGCACGTTTCTGCCTTGGAAGTGGGAGACTGGTGGAGGGTGATAATTATTGATTGGGTTTAATTGAGCGCTGTGATTTATAGCAGCTGGGATGAAGTGCTACGAAGGTGTTGAAGTTGGGCCCGCTTAATAAAGCGTTTGCTTTAATCTGAACCCCAGGGCTTGCAAACCTTGTCTCTTCCCACCTTGGGTTTTCATTTATTTCCATTTCTGGTGCTCCCAGACTTTTCCTGTCCTCATGGGAAACTTCAAGCAGAAGTGGGCAAAATTAGGTTGAATTTTCCAGGGGGGGAATGGGTGTGTGGTGGCAACAGGGAAAGGAGAGCCTGCAGCATAAAGCAGGGAGCTGAGGTTGGGGGTAAACCTGACGTTTCCACCATGAGCCTCCCTCTTCTGCCCTGTGGCTGCAGCCAAAATCCCCCATGGATACCCCAGCTGGGCTTGGACGTGGTGCTGTACGATCCGCAAACATTGGCATCTGCAAAGGGAGATGTGTGGGTGTGATGTTTTTCTGCTTTTACAGCCAGAGCAGAGATTTCTCTCCAGGAAGAGCCTCCAAAGCTATTTTAGGTGGCGGTGGATGGATGATACCTGAAAGTTTGCACTAGCTGGAGGAAAGAAATCCCACCCAAGAGAGCCAAACTCCTGATGGACCTGCGTGCCACTGCCTTTGCAGATGGGCCGGGGGAAGCTATTGTAGGGCTGCCCATAGTGTGACAATAAATAAACACGAGTCCCTGTCAGGACACGAGTTAAAGCCTGAGCCTTCTGCTCTGCTTTATTAGGCAGCAGGCTGCAGTCCCCGCAAAGTCTCTCCCAACGGGGTCCTGTCCCCGGGTGCTCTGCCTGCCGGGGGCTCGTGGTCACGTAAAGGTGACGGAGGATGGACATGTCGGACGTGTCCCCTTGGAGCTGCTGGGAGCGGTGTTTGGGGCCGGGTTGCTGGGTGCTGTAAGGTCCTCTGGTGTGGGGTGTCCGCAAGGTAACTGCTGGGATTCAAGAAGTGGAGTGAATCCCGAGGCTCCTGGGTGCTCTGGGAGGATGCACCGTATGTGGTGGCTTGCAACACGGTCACCAAATCTGTTAGACTCTGTTTGGGCTTCCTAAGAGTTTGAAAATCCAGCCTGGACACTGCCAAGAGGTAGAAGCATCATAAAACATCATTCAAGTTTTATAGTTAGCAGGGCGTTTTCAACAAGGGGAGAGCCGGAGCTGGGTGGTCCCCTGAGCAGGGTCTGGTTTATCAGAGGAGTTGGTGAAATGAGAGGTCTGAAGCTCTGGCTTGGAGAGGGCCCCTCTGACTGTAAGCACAAAGCAGGGTATGTTTTCAACCTGGTTTATTTGGATATTTGTGAGTGGTTCCTTCTCTGCTTCCTCTTCTGTATATAGAAGCTTATGTCTTTAGTGATGGGGAGGGGAACTCCCTTTTTTGACTAATAGTTTTCTTTTAAGGAAACAAATTTTATGCAATAGCATCCTCTTATGCTTTTATGCAGTAGCAATCCTCTGTACTGTTTCCCCATCCTCCCGAAGTACCTTTTGGGCCTGTTTGGTGAAAAAACAGCTTCCCTCCACCACCCTGGTCACCCGTTGGTGCCATTATCAGGTACCTGAGAGCCTCTCGCAGGTGGGGAGAGGGACGGGGACCATGAGGCAGCGACGCCTGCAGCACAGAGCTGTGAGGAGCCACCTTGGGCCATGCAGCACCTTGGTGCAAAGACTAAAACTCAGCCAGGAACGATGCGAGTCCCCGTGAGAAGCTGCTCCAAAACGGAGCGGCCAGCTTGTCCAAGCCCTGGCGGTTGCTCTGGCCCTTCCTCTTGCAGCGGTGGGAGCTGGTCAATAGGTGCTGCACCCTGGAGGTGACCGAGTGTCCGTGATGAGCCCCCGGCTGGCGTGTGTAAGTCCCCAGCACGCCGAGGCTGCCGCTTTGCATTGAAAGCTGGTCCAGACGCAAGGCCAAACTGCTTAGGCGGGAGCTAGGTAGACGGCAGGGTCTTTTTTCAACCTGAAATGTAAAATTAAATAAAAGAAGCAAATATGCTTTGTTTGTTTGTTTTCTATTTGTTTTGCCAGTGACCTTTTAATCTCAATAACAGCATCCTGTTCCCCATGGCTGGGCAGCCACCAGGTACTTGTCATTTGGTGCCATCTGATGATGGCCTTGGCCACGGGTCAGGGTTTTGTGTCCCCTGCAGGACTGGGCCCCTGCAGCGACCTCGTAAATCGCGCTTGCCCCATCCGCCGTAGCAGCCAGCGGCGCCCTGGGCCAAGGAGCGACGCTGCTCCGAGGGGATAACCCGGATGACCGCAGCCTCCGCTGCCCGCGAGCAGCGAACCCCGGCACCGAGTCGCACCCCTGCGCCCCCTTGTCCAACCGCGATTTGGCTGGGCCATGGTGGATCCTGCAGGAACGCCCAGACCGGCGCTCAGGAGCTCGGTCTCCCTCCAGCCCCACTCCCATCTGCCACCTCTTTCCTGTGCGGGACCCGCCATCGCCCAGCGCATGACCCAGATGAGAACGACCCGCTCGTGACACAAGTGGCAGTGGGGTGGAGCCAGCGCCGAGGGGGCGGGGCCAGGAGCAGGACAGAGTGGTTCTCTATGGTGATTGGCCAAGGCACAAACTGCTCAGTGACCTCATCGGGACGCAGCCAATGGCAAGGCAGGTGCAAAGCGCTTCCCGCCCCATGTGCCCAGTCCAGAGCAGGGCTGGCAGCAGGGGCACCCCGGGGAGAGCCCAACCGGGGACACAGCGGGACCCTGGAGGGAGCGGAGAGACCGAGGGGACGTGTGGGAGGCGGCCGGGGACACCGGGGAGCTGTTGGGACACTATGAGTTTGATAACCCTAAATATCAATGGAGGGGGTGACATGCTGATGAGGGGGTGGGGCCCATTTAGAGGGCGTGGCCACGGTCGAGGGGTGTGACCGGGGGCGTGGCCAAATCGCGGAAGGAAATGGGGGCCCGGGGCGGGGGCGACTCGGTGCTGCAGACAAAACCCGCCCTGGGGTGACGAGGGCAGGACAACGTGCGAGAGGGGAAGGAGGAAGCAAAGGACAACCCTGGTGTTGGCCTGGGGGGAGCCCTAGAGCGCCTGGAACCGCCGGGAGCTGTAAACGCTCGTTGTGTTGCATGAGTAATGAGATGCTAATGATATGCTAAGAAAGTACTCACGCTCCTCCCCTCATCTCTCCATGCTAATTAACCGAAGCGGCAACCTGGTGCGCGCTGTGGGCGTGGCCAGAGCCACGGGGGCGCGGTCAAAGGGCGAGGGCCTGACCAATGGGCGTGGCGTGGCCAATGGGCGTGGCGGAGCCAAGGGGCGTGGCGGGGCCGCTCGCCCAGCAGGAGCGCGAGGGG